ACATCTTCTGGACCCAACATTCAGATGCAAATCAAAAAACAATAAGCCTTTTACAGTGTAATTTGAAAATGTTTATTGTCTGAACTTTTTGACTCGTCCTTACAAATACGCTAAGTCTAAGAATTAGGATTGATGTTGACTTATACTATCTAACTCTCTGCCATCACTGCTCTCTATGTATTATGAATGTATTTACACACAGAGTATGTGTGTCAGAATGTGTGCCAGTATTTAGTAGGCTATTACACCATCAGACTTCACATTGTGCTGCCGGATGGATCCCCTCTGGTTCAAATGCTCTCAGTGCGCTCGGTGGCCAGATGGTATCTCACATGGAGAACATATGATCACTGGACTCATATCAACCAAAACACATTATCTATGACACAGTATATGGTGGCATGGTTGGAGAATTCCTTAGAGGCAATATATAGGGGCCAGTGATATTTCACAGTGTCTTTTTACTGTTGGGGCTTGTTTCATCACTGGAGCTTTTTATGATTTCAGGGTTTTGGTATAGATGTCTACCTCATGATCAAATAGCCACAGCATCAAATGTATGGTTACTGAAATAACTTGGTTTGATTGAACATGTATGTATATAGTCATATAGGTTGATACATTCCTCTCCGTCTCTCCCACTCACTTGAGCTTATATAGCGCTTTTCTAGTCTTCTGACTACTCAAAGCGCTTTTACACATTCACACACTGATGGTAGAGGCTGCTATGTAGAGAGACCATCAGAAGAAACTAATCCTGTTCATTCGCATTCATACACCGCCAACAAAGCAGCAGGAGGGGTTAAGTGTCTTGCCCAAGGACACATCGGACCTGTTGCTACAGGAGCTGGGAATCGAACCCTCGACCTCCCTGTTCAGAGATGACGACTCTACCAACTGAGCCACAGCCGCCTTCAAGTGAACACTCAATGAATATGCCAAATCACAACACTCGGGCTCGTCAATAACTCAATAAGGATCCCATTGATCTGTTTACTGATCAATGGGATGCAGGCTGCTGTTGTGTTATTACAGCACATCACCATGCACCACCAATCCATAACTCCAACAAGAGACAATCTGACTTGTCGTTTTATGCTATAGGAGCCTTTGTGAGCAATGGTAGTACTGCATTTATTCTTCCAAAAAGAAAGTAAGAATGACTCATCTAATTAAACATTTTTACATCTGCTGTAAAAATTGGCTTTTCTTGTGTGGTGTGTAGTTGACTTCATTAAATGAACTGCAGTATTTGGTACTTCTGAACTTGCTTCATTTTTCAACACTGCTTGGTGTTCATAAATACATTTTCACACATTCATGATAGGTCAGCATTTAGAAATTGTACAACACTACTCCTAATTTGTCCAAAAATTAAGGGTAATTGGCACCGACAATCCCTCAATCTGCAGGGGCTTGTGTTGGTAACAGTAGGTTTCCAGTTTAAGTCCCAGTGCAGACCAAGCGCTGAACCCCCAACTGTTCAGAGTGACAGTCCCTCACTGTGCAGCCCCCTCACTCTGACATCTCCCAATAAATAGAATACTATAGTTCCTGTTTGGGCTTTCAATCCTATGTGTGAGAAGTGTGTCTCAAAAAAAGAGTAAAAAGTTAAATTTCCCTTGTGATTGATAAAGTATATGATACAAACAAATAATAACATAAAATCTGAATGTCCAGTGAAGTCTGCATGCCAAGCCGACCCCCTAAAAGTCTGCCAAAAGTACCCTTTAGGCCCCTTTTGGACCCGTCGAAATGTCCGTTGTCATATCCCTCAGATTGATCAAGCACTCCCTATCCAGAAACATTTAATTCAGCAACTCTGCAAGATTAGTTAAGTCTGGACATTTGTAATTCACCATCTCTATTGATTACAGGACACAAACTAAGAAATGCAGGCGATTCTGCAGAGAGGGAGTCAGATATATCTATTCATTCTTGGGAAACAAAAAGTGATGAGAGAAGGAGGGGAGAGCACAGATACAACCACCATGCTGAACTGAGTCATGTCAGTTTGAAATCTCTAACCAGCAGGATCACAGGATGGCAAAACTCAAAGTATTGGGTGTTTGTAACATTTGTATCTCTACATGTGTGAAAATGTAGAAAAACATTGGATGCATCCCTTTTCCTGCTTAGCTGCACATATGGAGCCACAGGCTGGAGGTGTAATCACCACTGAGAGGTCAGATGTATAGATGCAACCATGTTGAAAAGCATTTGGCACCGAAGGATGGAAGCTAGAAGGTTGTGTTTACTGGCATATCTGTTTGGACAAACAAGGCCAAAATGAGCACACCAGCGATATCACAGCCACTTGTATGTGTGTGTGTGCGTTTGTGTGGAAGAGAGTGAGCGAGAGGCTGAACAAGGAAATGTGTTTGTGCGTGATTTCGAGTGGTGTCCAGGCATATTGTGGAACAGATGGCTGGAGGATGCTCTATTTCCCTTAAGGATACATTATTTCTATGTGTCTAAACAGCATATTTAACACAAACATTTTAAAGGAAATGATCCAGCTTTGTCAGATGGTTGCAGACCGAACATTTAAACTTTTGCAACCACAGCAAAGCTTCCATTCATCAACATCTGCTAAATCAGACTCAACCGCTGCAACTTTAGAGAATAGCCAAAAAAAAAGTGTCAAATCTACAAGAAACTGTCCCTGAACATTGTATTTAAACTCCAAAGATCACAGGGTTTGAAGAATCCCCAAACATTTAACATTTAACAATTTCTCCTCTGGTGACAGCAGCTCAAGGACATAATCTAAAAGGCGCTCATGTGTAATGTGATCTTAATTTGATTGAACAAGAGGAGAAGCCATAATAATGGTGTTGTGGCAAACAGCCAATCAAATGGTGGGGTGATTCAAGGATGATCCAATAGTCAATTTTTAAATGTATTTAACCAGGGAACCTCATTGAGATTAAGAATCTCATTTACAGGAGTGTCCTGGCCAAGTGGGGCTGCAGCCCAACAAACAGGTTACAGACATAAAACACAGTAATTACAAACACAGATCAACATTTCCTGAGTCACAGAGCAGAACGTTATTAGTCAAAGCATCTACAACCTGAAGCATTTTCCTCCAACACCTTCAATCTACTTTTAAAAAGATTTACAGAAACCAGCTCCACAAGACACAGAGATTCCAGGCCTTTTCCCCATTTCAAGACGCAATTCTCAAAAAAAATCATCAGTAATCTGATCACACAAAATCAAATATCAACTAAACAGGTTTTTGTTTTTAGCATTAGAAACATTCACAGACCTATGATCTACCCTCAAGAATAAAATGTCATGACATTGCACTTTTTCCTATAAAAGTGCAATGTCATGTTTCCAAAAAAAAAAAAAAAATGGGGAATGAGAATATTGAATACACTCTTGCATGTTAACATCTACACTCTTGCAGGTATGGGTGAATGTGGACTACAGGAGGCTCTTCAGAGTGGTTGGTGGGGTTTTACAGCAAATCTTGAAGTTTATCATTTTAAGTTACAGCTCCATCGTCTCCGTCTGGATAAAAAATACATCATAGATTGATGGAGGTAGTTTGTTGTCAAACTACTTCTTTTAAATTGTTTAACCACAACTAATGGCTTTAGTGGAGTCATTTACAAAAATGATCACATTTAGTTGCCTGATATTCACAACATAAATACATGTTTAAAAATTCACTAAATGTGTTCATAAAACAATTTGACTGACGATTTACATTTAACAGCTGAAGAATCTACTTTTCAGTGCCCTCTTGTGGATAAAATGTGTAATAGGTGACTATTTAAAAAGTACCTCAGGCATATATTTGGGGTCCATTTTCTTGTAACTCAAATGCTGACATTTACACAAACATACGTGCAATATGGTAATATTGGCTCATAAAGACAGTCACTATACTTATTTAGCTCTACCCTGCTTATATTGCCCATAGAGGACTTTGATGAGTGGTGATTTTGGAAGAAGATTTCTAATGCTATTTAATTAATACAAAATCTGATCAACAGAAACACCAAGAATATTAAAATTAAAAAGGTCAACATTTTATCTCAACCTTTTGATGAACAACTTGAACTCTGACCAACTCAGTGTTGTGTTGAAACATTACATTCATTATTGTAATGAGGGGTTGATAATTAACTTGACTTCATGATTCAAGCTTTGATAAAACTTATATTTCATCTTCTCACTGTGTTTCCTTTTTTTTACTCTTTGAAATTAGTACACAGACAATGGTGCATCTTAATTCAGCACCTGTAACTGATCAATGTCTTACTTTGAGATCTGTAACAGAGGAGTGGTGCTTTAACAGTTTTGAGACATTGGGGTATTGATGCAAAAGTGGACCTCCCTCAGGCTCCACAAGGAGAGCTTTGATTATTTGAAGATGGATACTCCATGCTAACAATGTGGAAAAACAACACTTAATCTGAAACTGGATATTTAGAATAGATATAAGGCAAAATGAAGGTCATACAAATCTCAACTGAACGAAACCTGACACTAAAAAAGGGACATCATGTGGACTGAACGCTCCTATCCAATAAGTTGACGAGACCCCACAGGAGCAGTTTGGAGTCCTCTCAGCCAAATCCCACAGAAAACACAAAGCGTCGTCACGCAACACAATCTCATTCATACTTCAACATGTGTTTGAAAAATCGGATCAACATGTTCAAAGCATGACATGAAATCCCTCAATGAGCTGCAGACTTGAAACTGGACTGGACATTTTAGCGGCAGACTATTGAGGAACCACATTTCCACTTCGAAGATGTATGCACCCCCTAAAAAAAAAAATGCCATCAACATGCAACATTCATCTTTCTTTGCCGCCGTTTGCAGATTTCAGACGCAGACTGAAGTGTGCAGGATTTTTAAATCCCGAGGGTATAAACACACGCTGCGCTCAATTTTTAACATCATCCACACACAGCATCATATGTCAGCCACCGCAGTATATCAAATCGGTGCATGTCATCTTCTCAGTTTCTTACCTATTTGACTGAACAGGAGCAGCTGAGAGATGAAAACGTCGGTCCTGGGAACCGCCGTCTCCATGGTGTCGGCGTGAGAATTAAAAGCAAAGCGGCAGTGGGCTATGTGGATTTGTAGGAACGAACGGCGGGTCGGGTGCGTAAAAGATGCGCTACCAGCTCATCGTTGCTCCTCCACTGCCTCTGTGTGCGGCAGCAGCGCTAAATGCTCGGATCGGGTTTGGCTCGGCTCGGCGTGATTCGGCTGGATTTGGCACGCTGGCTGGTTGGACGGTTGATAAACCGACGCGCACTGGCTGAGCGCGCGCGCCGCCCACTGCCCTTAATGGAAACGTGTGTATCACTCCTGTAATATTCTGATGATATGACCACTGGGACGTGGTGTGTGTGTCTCCAGCACGCAGCTGCGATTTAAGGGCTTTTATCTCCTCGGCAGCAGTATGGGGTTCCTATAATATGTACAGTATCCACAGCATGTGGTAACAAGGACTTCATAGTCAACTTAGAGAGTATTCAGGGTGTCGCGAGTGACCTAATTATCTCCTATTGTTTCATTGTAACGATAATGGGCCAATCATTAGAAACAGACACTTTCACAAATTGGTATTGCCAGAATGGTTGTGTTTGTAAGATGTAAGACAAGGAGGCCAGCGATCTTCTTTCTCTATAAAAATCTGACATTTGATGGACCAGATGTGACAATAATACAAGACTGTCTTTACTCTTTTTTTAGGCTTGATTTGTACCATAAAGTAGTATTACAGCTTTAGTAGAATGGCCTGTTTTTTTTTTCTTTTTCACAAATCACAGCACTATGTGCTCCACAGTGAGTTAAACTGACCTAATTTATGATCATGCAGCTGAGTGAAGAATGGGCTAGTTAGGATGATTCTAATTATTCTAACAAAATAAGTGCATGACTAGAAAAAAAAGGATGACAATAACATTGAGTAGGAAAATACACATAAGGAAATTCAGGTCACTTCAAATGTCATATCTTGTTTGGACCCAAGTTTTTCTTGTAATATCATAGTGACTTTAACGTATAAGGTTTATGCAAAGCTTAAGGAAGAAACCTGACAAGTTTTCAAGCTGTTGGATAAAGAATCTGTTGCATCACCACTAAACAAAACAAGAATGTGCATCAAACCCAACTGAGCTGAAACTGTCCCGCAACGGCATCAGAGTGTGAGCTTGTGTGTGTGCGGATTTTCAAGGGTGGTGAGATTTGGAAGTGGCTGGACAACAAGATTCCCATGAAGTACACAATGGCAGAGGCCTGAGTGTGTGAGTGTGTGTGTCTTGTGGAAAAGTGTAGCTCCGAAAGCAACAGGACTGAATGGCGCAAAAACACACACACAGTTGTGGGAGCCTGGGCATATCTGAAAGTAAGAGTGTGTGTAAGTTTGTGTGTGCGCGTGCATGTGTGTGAAACAGGCACAATAACATGCTGCTCTCATTACGCTGTGTGCATTAATTAGCATAAATTAAGAGAGATAATCCTCTTTAATTCAGGCGGGAGGCTGTCTCACTTGTTGGACCAACATTTTTTCGGATGGTTGTTACAATATCCTCTCTGCCCCTGAGCTTCCGGTGCATAAGCCTGTCCTTGTGTGTGTGTGTGTGTGTGTGTGTGTGTGTGTGTGTGTGTGTGTGTTTGTGGGAGAAAGGAGCTTCCATGTTTGTAGCATCCGTCTGTATGATTACTGACAAAAATAGAGAGAAAAGAGCAAAAATATCCTCTTATTAAGTCTTACATAACACACACACACACACACTCACCCTGCTTTTTGTAGCTAAAGCCGAGGGATACAATGTGAGTTTAAAAAGAGAAGAACTAACACAACATCATCTCAACAAAGCATGAAAGTTCACACACAGGGAGTAACTGCCTGCTCTGACAGGTGTACAGACACGAGCTGTGTGTTGAGCGATCACAGCGCACTGTCGCCTGCTGCAAAATATCTTGAGCTCTCTCAGATCCAGCGGCTGTGGGAAAGCTGGTTCAGTTTTAACGGCACACAGGCTGCTATGGATTATGGATTACGTGTTGGCTCTATCTTTTCTCTCTCTCTGACTGTGCATCAGGACTGTGAGTGGAGGAGGGTCAACAGCTCGAAGAGGGTTCATTTTGGTCATCATTTTTAAGTCCAAAAAAAAGGATGCACAAAAATGCACAAAAATATTGATAAACTGGACACATGTATATATTTTCAGGAGAACATTTTTAGATACATGATAGTTTAGATTTTCTAGGGATTCCTTTATCCGGCAGTCACGCGATGTGCTGTAATGGCTGTAAAATAATCTTTGCAGTTAAAATGAACCCTATTAAAGTAAGTCCACTCAATGCTCGTTTTTACCACTGAACATTCTGCTTGTTATTACTGTCAACATTCAGAAAGGTTTGCTAAAGAGACAGACTCCTTTCAGGTAAGATCTTTTTTTTTCCACCAGAAACAGCTGTCAACATCTCGCTCATAGAAGCCAGCCAGATTCCATTGACAAAAGACATCATGTTTTCTATTATTAAAAAAGAGTTGCTGTTTAGTTGTGTCCAATCTAATACTTAAAAACACCTAAGACATGCAACCATACAAACAAACTCATGGTCTCATGGTATCAGTAGACCGGGGGTCTGCAACAGGCGACTCTGGAGTCTCATGCAGCTCTTTCGCCTCTCTCCAGTAGCTTCCTGTGGCTTTGCTAAAAAAAAAAGAGAATATTTTATTCAACTTTTGATTGTTTTACAATCTCTAACTGTACAAAATGTGCAGCCCTTCATTCAATTATTAGGCATCTATTTTTAAAAATATTTTTTCAATATAAATTTGCGCCATATCCTGCCTCAGTGGAACAGATCACAACGGCTTCTTTTCAGTGTCACAGATAGACAATCTGTTATTGGAAATTAAAAATAAAATTAAGAAAAATGTTTCGAGACTTTTTTGGAACAAGCACATTGCATTTTGTGAAAGGAGAACAATGGTGATAAGACGTAGTCTTCGGACACACAGATCTGGAGGGGAATGCCTTGCACCCCAAATGTTTTGAATTTAGCCCCTTACAGTATATGATGTTAAACATAAGCAAACTGTCAGATTGTCAACATCCCTGCTCTGCTACGCTCCAATTCAACGCTCCCTCACTCTCACATGCTCGACCACTCTCTCTCACTCTGCTGCGCCTGGCCCTGATAACAGCAGGTGAGACAGAGCGGAACTCTAACTATCGATAAAAGAGAGTCATACGTAAGCCTCCATAGTGACTTCACATTAAAAGTTGTTTTAATGATGGAGACCATATTACTCTTCATTGACACATTAGTTCTGGTTAATTAGTAAGCATCTGATCCCAATGTAAACCTGTGTTATACAGGCAGCAGCATGTGATGGAGAAAAATCACCCGTTGAGGAGTTGTTGCATGTAATGTGGACAAAGATATTAAGGAATACTCATTTAGATCTATTAGTAATGTGAATGGGCTCAGCGAGGGTCCATAAACTTCTATCAAAGGCGAAAATATGTTTTTGCGGCTCCAGACAGATTTTTTGGGGGGGGGGCTGCAGGGGAATGGCTTTTTGGTTGGAAAAGGTGGCCGACCCCTGCGGAAGACCAACAACCTCCATGTCTGCAAGATGAAGCAAATTTGTTTGGCAAAGTTGTCTGGTGGCTTATTAGAAAGACGGCTCCTTCTTGTTTTAAGAAATTATTATTATTATTATTATTAACATAATAAAAGGGAAAAGTCATCAATAGACTAAAGAAAAATACAAAAATGTTGAATTAGTCACCTCTTGTTTGTTCATGCGTGGTGCCTGTGCCTGAACCCCTGTTGCCATGACAGTGGATGCTGTTTCCCAGTTGACAGTGATATTGACTTGCAGTGGTGGCAACTAGAGGTCAGTCTCCAGGACACCACTGGGATGACAAACACAGGTCGATGTGTGTGTGTGTGTGTGTGTGTGTGTGTGTGTAAATGACAGAGAGAGAGAGATGCCATTGCTGGTCGATAACTGAAATGGAGAAACATAGCTTTGTATTCGTACAGATGGTTCTGCACGTGTTTGTTGCTAATGTTTAAGTGCTGAGAATACTGCTGTTTGCAAACTACTTTTGAAGTCAATACAGTGTACGCCCTCAGGATGGTAATCTCTATAATATGATTTACCGTACATTTAAATAGAATAAAGAGCACTAAGGGAAGACATTTCGGTTGATTTAATCAACATGCATGTAGAGCTATGAGACAGATTTGAAAGAAAATGGTCATTCAAATAGAATCTGCTCCTTTTAAGTATCAATGAACTCTTTCCTTTAGGTCTATTATAATTAGAAGATCATCTCTCTTAAAGACCCCCTTTTTTGTCCTTTTTGGGGTTCATATATTTAATCTATGTACCTACTAAAGTATGTTTACAATAGCTAAAGTTTGAAAAAAGTGTCTGTTTTCATGACACTGCCGCTCCATGCACCGGCTCGCTTCTGACTCTCTCTCTAAGGCTCTGAAGTGCCCACGTTCAGAGTCCCCACGTGTGCCAAGTCTGATCTGATTGGTCGGCCTGTTGGCTCTGCCGTAATTGGTCAGTTGCTCAGCACGGTTCTCAGAAATGCCACGCCCCTTTTACCATATTGGGAATGCAGCCACTCTGGCTCAGAGGGCCGGGGAGCAAAAACATTAGCACCTTAGCACTACTGTGCTACCGGAGGCTACGGCATATTGTGGGCGTGCTATAGAAGTTAACGGGCGTGCAACATGAGCTGCAGGGCTTGCCACAACGAGCCAATGGGCTTAGATCAGTGATCTCACACTGACAATGACGTCACACTGACACATTTTTATCGAGGGGGGCTAGAACCGAGCGTTACATGCAGCTAATGCTACAGCTAACAGGAGGACGTAGGAGAAGCCGCGTTTCCACAGACTTTGAATTTTGATGTGCCTAAACAAGCACAGGACATTTGGAAAACACACTAAAAAGCATATAAAACCAGAAAAAGCATAATATGGGACCTTTAAAGGAAAGAAAGAGGTAATCAAGAGAGAAATGTTACTATTGTCCTTTATCACAGTTAACAGAAAGAGTTACCTGCCTGCCTCTTTGTGTGTATGTTTCTGAAACTGAAAGAGGGCCAGAGTATGTTTACTTTAACACACTTTAAAAAGATTATAAAGTCATCGCATTATCTTGCACTCACACACTCACCTGTCATGGTGTCACATGGTTGTTGAAACTCTTAAAATTCTGCTTCACATATGATTATGGACTTAAGTGTGCTTTTGTTTGTTTTGGGAATTCACTTTTCTTACCAGTGGAGAGATGTTTACTGGTCACAAAGCAGCTTCACCAACCGGACACCAAAGTCTGCAGTTACCAATAGGAACAATAAAAGTGAGGTGAATAAAGCAGAGGAGAACTGTAGGCTGTGTATATATAAAAAACTCTTAAGCTTGACTGACTGGGTGACTTAACTAAGTAGTTTGGACATCTAGACGTCCTGTGTGCATTTGAAGAGTCTTTTTTTAGACACCTTATGACTGTATACCCAGCTTTACAGAATACCTAACTGCATGTTTCAGGTACTGTCATGTTTCTTTTGACAGCTGGCTGAGCTGACACTGACTGACAGGTGACAGAAGAGTATTGACCACCGCTGCTCCGCTTTTGACATACAGCAGGTTTTCAGGTTGCTTTTGTGCTGTGTGAGATACAGAATCCACCCTTCGAAGAGGTCAACTGATCCTTTTGTTGTTTTCATTACTTTGGAAGACGCAGTTAAGCATTTGAGCTCCTACTTCATAATGGGACAGCTCCTCATTCTGAGTCAATATAGAGATTTGTTACTAATAGAACTTTCTTCCATGAGTTACATTTGCAATGACGACTGTTAAAGGATAGACATCATACAAGTCTGCAAGTTAAACAGTTTGAAGAGAGAGTTTCTCGCATGTTTTGATGGACTCAATCCTCACCTGCACACCTGTCTTTTGAAATACATGTGTTAAGAATGTTTCCACTTAGAGAAGTAAAGAACAAGGTGCTGTTAATTTCCTCAAAATGGCATCAGCTACGTCAATAGTTTAGCTTTAAATAAAAAACTAGTATATCAGTATATCAATTATATGAAACCTCTCTCAACCTGTATCTAAAACCAGCACATGTAAGAGCTACATGGTAGGGAGAGATGATATACAGTACCCATCATCATGCTGAGCTACAAAAACTGCCAGAATTAAGCTTTAAATCGCACTGATGTCACCTACGTTGATTACATATATTCTTATATAATAATGACTGTACTGTCAGGCAGATTTGAGGCCCTTAAAAGGACTGAAGATTAACACATCTTCACTACGTACACTACTTTAGTTTTTTTTTCCAAGCCATACATTTCCCTTTCATCATCTTATACACTCACCCTAAGTTATTCTGAATATATGCTAATCCTACGGCACTAATACCTCTGAAAGTCATAGTTAGGAGAGAAATAAACCTCTGCAGCTGAAGTTACCGGCTCTCATTAACGCCATTAAAAGAGTCTAAGGTCGCTGTGCACAGAAAGTGCAAGTTGTTAGAAATTTCCCCTTGGATTGTCTCTTAATGAAATACAGAAATTTGCAGGTCACACAATAAACTAAGGACTATCCAAATCTGTGCATCACATCCAGCAAATGTTTGGTGGCCTGACACTCAACTCGGAGGGAAAACAATACATTAAATCTTATCTATCTGACATCTTCCTCTGCATCACTCTCAAAAACATATTGGTTGGATTGTTCTTCGTGTAGCAGCTATAGTGGCTGTTACCAACACCTCCTTCTTTCATGCAACTCTTCTATTGTATCAAGTCTGTAGTGTAGTGCATAAGGTATGTGCTTCTAGTTTCTGAAACAAATACATTATTTTCCAACAATGGAATAAAGTGAATCCTGGTACATAAGAGCACAACACAGCGAGGCAGACGGTGTTCCTAAATAAAGAATTTTCCTTCTCATCGAAAAGGTGAAATGCAGCCACTTGTGCTACAGAGAAATGTGCCACTTGAAAAATGATTAAACTTTTTGGAAAACTTTTTCATCTGGCCTTTGATCCACTCTCAACATCAGTAACAGAAAATATGATTTCAGGGGGGCTTTTGAGGCAAACAAGAGGGACAATTTTTCCCTCTTACAGGAGCTTAAGTTTTCTATCTCTAAACTGAAGCAAACTGTAATGGAAACATTCATTGTCAGTGGGAGAAACAAAGTTGAAGTGAGGTCAGTATGGTGTGTGATATGAATAGTGAATGAAGTTCTGTCTCTGAAGAGGGACAAACTCCAATCACGCACACACACGCACAGGGGGTATAAAACACTTACTTTACTAAGAAGAGGGTGAGCACCTCACCCTGGCATCGGAGCACTTGTTTTTTTGTACTTTCATTCAGTACGCACAAGCGTACGAACTGAGCTGGATTGCTGCTGGGGACCATGGCAACCACTGGGGCTATTCTCTGTCACTGAGACAGAGGGAGGGAGAAAACGTGAGAGGGAGTTAATCAACAACACACATTTTCATTCTGCCTTTACACACTGCCGAGCTGTGCACACACATTAACTTCATTGTACGTCCATGTATCTCAGTGACAAACACTTGCTGTACAGTGGAGAGGAAGGGAGGAAGGAAGTTTTTTTCCTTAATTTCAATTAATCATGAATGTACAATAAATGATACAGAGCTAACATTTAGCCTCTAGTAAAACCAGTTTAACTTGACTGAACAAATGATTCTCAAACAAATTAGCAAAAACAAAAAATTGTATCAGGCTATTTGTCAAAAACACAAGACATTATGTTTCATTGAGGATGGCAGTTAGGTTACTCATGCTATTGGCATGGCAACAAGCGTAACCCCCACTTTGTGAGTACCGGTATTATTATTATTAATTACAACTTAGACTTGTTTTTATAATCAAACGACTCTCAGTAGTTTTATCCTTCTTAATTATTTGTTAAATCTGTGAAACAAAAAAAAATACATGTAGTGGACTACATTTTAAACAGAATTATAAGCTATTTCCCACAGTAGTATAGCTGCCACATGTTACAACACTAATAATACGCTGCCTCACCTGTTGTCTCAGTCGAGTTACCATGGAAACATGATAATATAGTTTACCATGAGTCGAACTCGTTCCTTTAGACGAACACTTGTGTTTATAGGCGCCTTCTGGATAAATTGTCATTACTTTAACTGAACTTATTTCACTTTTTAATTCTCAGAACCACGTTAAACTTTCCAAACGTGTCACTTCACTCACATTGATGAGGAGACGGCGCCATCAGCCGGTACAATTTGTCAATCACGTACGCCTAACGTGCTACGTCATCACGAAGCGACACCGGAAAGCGCTGCGTCCTTCAGTGAACTCAGGTGCTGTGGTGCCGAAACACGTTTTGTAAGTCGTATATTTTGAATTGTGCGTTCTGGTGAGTGACAGAAAATACGTAGCAGTGGTGCACGGGAAGAATAATTCATTTGGGAGCTTTAGGAGCTTCATTCGGTGAGTTTCAGCTGAATGTTTTTAAAGAAACCTCGACGACTTCCAGCTTCACCGTGTGTGTTCAGTCATAGTTGGATAAGATAGTGTGATGTAATACAGTATAAAAGGTCTATTGAGACTGAAAGGAAGTACATTTACAGCCAACATACATAACAGCCACAAGGGTCAGACTAAGACACATGATATAATATGGATTAAGAGTGTATACATAATAACACAGCATCACAGTTACAACTGTGTTGTGACAGCTGTGAGAAATGTCTCATTAAAGGCTTACATTGTGTTTCTCTGTTTAGAAAAGGTGCTCACTATGAAGCTTTAAAGTTAAGATGAAAAAATAAATGAGTTTAAATTTAATTTTAGATCCACAGCTCAATTTTTGATTCAGAAAATATCACAAAGAAAGTGAGAACAACATTGTTTCACATAAATGAGACAGTATGGACACTGCATACCACAGCATGGGCTCTAGCTTCACCCTCTACTATGAGAAACCTTGTACCGGTGGCATCACTGCCTCAAACTGAAAAAGATACAGCTTTTTTAGTTCCCAGAGTTTTAGACAGTTATGTAATTCTTGATATCTCAACCTTTTTTTAAAACATCTCCCAGGTGTCAGCAGGGATGTCGGCTCCAAACTCTGCAGAACGGAAGTCATGCTGGGACGCCAGGGATTTGCTGTGGAAGTGTATGGACGACAATAACGACAAAGCTGAATCCTGCCAGAGGTTCCAGAGCGAGTTTGAAGCAAAATGCCCCGCTCAGTGGGTAAGTGTCTTTTTTTTTATCCTTTATGCTTTGATTCTATGTTATGAACAGTCTGTGACGTCAGAAAGCATGAACTGTGAGCCGGTTTGCAAAATCAAAAACATTTTTAAAGAGTTAATCGCCCCCGCTGTTAAATATTATATTTAAAATCGCAATAGGTTTCATATTTCACCTTGTATCTTAAATACAATACTGAAATACTGATATGGTGTTTTCCATTTTCTTTGATAGGTAAAATATTTTTCCAAGAGGAGAGACTTCCTGAAATACAAGGAGAAGATGCAGACGGAGGGATTCACACCTGCTGAAGGTCCCAGCCAGCCATCCTAACCAATGAACCATTGGACAGCAGACCATTCTAAATCTGCAGAGAAACTGACTTTGAGCCCTAATCAGACCAGGGCCAGAAGTGCACAACCTGGAGATGAGTTTTCTATCTTTATTGAGGATTTGAACTTCCCAATATCATAATTTATTTTCACAGATAGAAAAGTTCCAAAAAGGAAAATATACATATTATCAGCTCAGAGTGGCAGTATGGGGAGTTGTTTGAATGAAGCATCAGCTCATTTCAGCTACAGGTGTCAGATGTTTGATGTGGATGTAAATCTCAGTTGAAGTTCACCTGGGTGTAAAATGTAATGTTGTCATTGTAGTTTGCAACTGTGTAGTTCAAAACACAGTTGGAATGCTTAAAGGTCACATTTTATCCTCCTCTTCAACCAGTTTAAATAAGTCTCAGAGCTCCCCAAATCATGTCTGTAAAGTTTCTTGATAACAATTTCTATCTGATCCTGTATTTGATCATGTCTATAAACCCCTCTATTTCAGCCCTGCTCAGAACAGGCTGTTTCTGTACCTTTTAAATATGTAAATGAGCTGTGTCTGACCACGCCCCCTCTCTGGAAGGACTTGAGTGGCTTAGGCCTTCTCGCTCCATGCCCTATTGTTTACAGTGAGAAGGCAGACTCAGAGGGCAGAACAAACACCTATCTGTGGGAGTGTCACCCACCTGGGGGAGGGATTACTGCCCTTTGTGATGTCACTAAGGGAAAATCTCCAAACGGCCTGTTTGAGCACACATTTTCTGAAAAGTGGAGCAGGCCAAAGATGGAGAGGATGGACTTTACTCATAATTGGGGGGTTTGTGGACAGAATAGTGACACATATTAGTGTATTTTGCTTAATATGTGACCTTTATTCACTTTAGTTCTAAAAATATTAGCAAAAAAATGCAACCCATTCAGACATGTAAAGTGGGCCTGTTTCTGTGTCAGCATTATTCAAGATAAACTTTTCTCTCCATCTCTGTTTTCAGCCTTTAATCCAGAGTGCACCTCTGATAAACGTTTGTGTTTAATGAATATTTCTTGCACTGATACCAGTCATGAGTAGTGATCATTTCAATCATTGTGTGACATAAAGACAAATGAATACAATCTGTTCTGATTCAGTGTGTCTTCTTAAAAAAAAAAAAAAACACACAATGAGTGGTTTAAGTGGTTTTATTCTTGTGCATGTATAAGATTGTATCATTGTAACTCTAGGTTTTGAGTTGAATATGAATGAAACATCAAAGTACAACAGATAATTTAGAAATATTACAGCTCATCTGAAACCAGGCAAAAAGGCACGTTATCTTTATATTAAAAATCTGTATGTATTTACAAAGGAGTGTGTGGCCCTTGGGTCAAGGTCACTGCTGTAACTCCACCGAGATGTATGAAACCAAAGTCCTAAACTTAAAATGCAGTAATATATATATATAAAAAATGCACAAATTACATTAAAAATTTGTGTAAAAATATAAAGCATATATTTCAGATTTCTGCACAGTACACTGAAAGTTGTGTGCAAACCTTTTCACCACCAGACAACAGTTGACGTGATTTGTCAGTTGATTGAACACGCTATGACACCATACAACCCTCGCTCTGTCGCTCTTCTTTTAAGGCTTTGGATGCTGCGTATAACAGGAACTCCAGATTCCTGGTAGGGGACTCTGATGACCCCCAAAACTCTGACATGTCAGGAGAAAAGTCTCACCTTCAAGATGAAGACAAATGAAGACCAAAGTCGGTCCTCCTGTTGCTTAACATGCTACTGTTACGAATGTAATAAAAAAAATCTACATGTTTATTGTAACCCACTGCAGTGTTTTCCACCTCTTGACACAGATGGAAAGAATCTGTCATGGTTAAAGATCATTATAACAGCATCATACAGGACCTCTTCTAGAAAGGTTTTACTTCTTCATCATGAAATCCTGAAGTTTTCAGGTCGATTCAATACAACAAAAAAGAAACATCCGATCAACAATCTGAAGACAAATAAGTTATCAAAGTAAGCACAACTAGGGGAAGAGTGTTTTTGGAATCAAAAGCTCCGCATGTGTGTATATGTATGCACATAATACAGGCAAGAATGTGTCTACATTCAGAAAAAAAGTTTGCCCACATTACACATAGACGTGATTTGTCAACCAACGATGGACTCTCTCTACCTTAAACAGTACATTCTTTATATATGTAATAGCATCAAGTACAAGAACATGAGCTCATCAAAATGTGATTCTGCTGCTGTTCCATTTACAAAGGACAGTGTTGAATATAGTTCCCGCAGGGCTCTGAGCATGCAGCGGGGCAGGCTTAGAAACCTGCTTAAAGTGTCGCACGACAGGCAAAAACCATGTGGAAGGCACTCGTGGTATTTGCTGGAAATGTAGGATCAGATTTAGAGACTTTGGTACATTAATGCACAAATTTCCCCAATAAAGTTTATCTTTATCTTTATCTTTAAAGAGATTTGAAAGGCAATGCAAGTAGAAGCAAGGAGGCATGTATGAAAAGTGAACATGCTTTTCAATTATTTTGCATGCTTTGAAACATTTCATAAAGATATGAGGTGCTCCTGAAAGTGGTTCTACGTATACAGTACAATCACAGCAATATGTGAAGCCTCCTTCCACACATGCTCTAGCTTTAGTACGGCTAGAGAGAGCCAGAGTAAGAACATCAACACTTCCATTTTCAAAATTCTCCCAGAAAAACCTGTCACCAGCCCACTTGTGTTGCCATGTATGTAATGTGGGTGCAAAGCAGTTCTTTTTAAGTGCAGCAGAAGTTGAGCAAGCATGCAGAAAAAAACGAAAAAAACAGGCTTATGCACAATGACCGTTCAACTTTTTACTATGTACTGTAAATGTCAGCTAGTGTGGCTCAGAGGCCGAGCAGCAGCTTAACTTATCATTCCTTCTACAAAATCAATCAACGAAATATTAGATATCAATCACCAACAATTCATTTGTGTCTTTTAGCAAATTACCTTCAGGGATTTCTTTACAACAGAATCTCCATTTAACAGCGTCAATGGAGGTAAATAAAAAGGGCTTTCGCAGGAGGTCAGGGCTTTACACGGTTGGAGGTCACTCCTCATAACACCCCTCAGAAAATATAATTCAAACTATTATATCGAAGCAACATGTAATGGTTTTTGCTCTCCTTTTCATCTCATAGGTCCCCCCCAAGAGCAAGAAAAGGGCTCCTTAACTCCGAGCTGTCCTCTTGACAGGCCAAACGCCATCTTCTTGTGTTATTTCCTCACACAAACATTGCCCCGCCTCTTTCTCTCTTTCAGTCTTTCGAGTGGTTTACGGTTCAACACCTTTTCTTCCCAGCGGTGGTTATAAGATCCCGGTGATGTTCCTGCCAACTGCCCAGACCGGGAACTCGGTCAGGTTGAAGAGGGGAACCCCCCACGTGCTGATGGCTAACATCACCACTGCCACACCGATCAGATTCACCCCGAAACCTGCTTTCACCTGGAAATGGAAGGAAGGCAAAGGAAAACTGTTGGAATAACTGAGTTGGAGGATTTCTTGTCCCAAGTGTTTTTGGTTTGCAAATGGTTAAGAGAGAAACTTTTTTTTTTATCCTTCTGATTATGTAAATCAACTTTGACACATTGTCCTCTGCAGCCTCTTGATGCTGCAGGTGCACAAGGAGCATGTGGCTTTGTGCATTTGTTTTGCGTGCGTGTCGTACCATGTCACTTATCTGCACGTGGCCGTAACTGAAGACGATGGCGTTAGGGGGGTTCCCCACTGGAAGCATGACCCCGAATGACACGCACATGGTGGACGGGATCAAAGTGTGGAGGGGGTTGATTTGCAGAGTCTCCGACTGGATGGGTGAGAAGGAGTAAAGGACAGAAAGAAGCAGCAGAGTGAAAGGAGAAAACAGTGTGAGGATGAAGTTGGGGAAGAAAGAAAATAAATGCAAGACAAGGTACATTTTGAGGGGTTTAGGGAAGGGGAGAAGGAGGGATGAATGAAAAAGAGGAGAGGGGAGAAGCGTAAGGTCAAATGAGTTTTAAACACAAGAGGGCATGGTATCAATACTCTCTCCTTACACATAAGGGTGTCAACATTTCAGATAATCCTATTTTTTCAATACTAATATGTGATACAGACTTCATTGTTTTTAATTATCAGATTTGGAAAGAACTGAAGTCTTAAAAACAAAACTACAGAACTTAAGACGGATGATTTACCCAGAGCTGTGAAAGTGAGCTAAAGAAAAAGAACAGCGGAAGTCAATTGACTCGATTCAGATTCATAGGTCGGCAAATACCGATGTTTTTCAAGAACTATTGGCGTTTTTGTCTCTTGCAAATAGAGAGCAGAGGGGGTGACACTGTCTAAAATGCACAAAGACGTGATACATCACCATTGTGTTTGTGAAGTTTAGACAGTGTACAGGAGTTTGCTTTGGTAGTTTATAAACAACAAAATGACCCAATGTTGGGTGATTAGGACTTGTGTTCTTGATGCTGTGATTTTGAAACAGGTGTCAATATGTTTTATTTTCACTAGTAATGTATCAAAGATAAAGAAATGAATAAATTGTCGGGAAAACCTGACTAGAAACATGTACATTAAAGTAGCTTTCCTTATGAATATCAGGGCAAAGGAATATTTTTTCCACAAGGGGGCAGCAGAGTCACACAATGCTGTTTTATTTTAAAACAGCCACTTGTAAAGAAAGTATCCTTTGACAGGATAACTCTTCAAATGTAACAAACAGAGACACATTCAGAAAAATTGAAGAGGTTCTGTTGTTCTTTTTTAAGTAGTAGAATATGGTATGAAGATGAAACCTGCAGTTTGTTGTTCTAATAGATTTGTATAAAGACTTGAAATAGGGCGGTAGAGCTAGCCTGGCGTCGTGTAAAGGTACATTATGCTAAGCTAATCGGTGCTACTGGTAGCATTGATCTTTTCGGCTAACTCTCTCAAGTAAAATGTTTTTAGGTGTGCTTTTTTTAAATGTCAGACTAATCCTTAGACTAAAAGGGCTACATAATGGATTAAATATGCTTGGCGTTGCGCTTGCTCAGGAATAAAAATCATTTTTTGATGTAATTTATTCAGTTGGTGTGATGGCTCTTTCATCATGTTACAAATATTTGACGATCAGCTCTAAAAAATAAAATAAATGACCACTGTGATGGAATTTTTGTATCTCATTCGAGGTCTGTGTCTTGATAAAACATCTCACTCAGAGAAGTGTCGTCTGGTATGAGATGACACTGTCCTGGTGTGATCTTATGCTCGGTCAGGTTTAGGGTCAAAGGCCTTTCTGAGAGTAGAGTAACCTCTGATTCGTCCGTCTGTAATTCACTCACTACTCTTGACCAAGACAAAAATATATATTTCTCTGGGTCTACAATTTACAGGTTAGTGTATGAGTTAAATTAACATTTTTGTCTTATTGAATACAACGTTTCTCCCAACTTCAAAATTAAATCTTCTCATTTAGGTTTTTTTTTGCAGAATTTTTTTTTTAGAACTCAAATTATGCAGCAAAAGCCTCGCCAGGGACAGGGGTTGCAAATTATCCCCGGCTAGAAACCTGCATGCATGGCATCTCTACTTTGTATTTTACATATGAAGCAAAGTTCATTACATGTGTCCCTGTTAAAATATGTTCTGGAATAACCCTGATGTGTTGCATGTGAGAGGTGCTGATTAAAGGATCGTCTGAAGTGATCTTTTCCAGCATTTTATTTTTTTTACAAAAGTTGTAGCCTACACTCCCTCTCTCTCAGCTTTATCAGATATTTTCACATGATCCACTACTGTAAGTGTGTGAGGGAGAGTTTCTGTCGTACCAGCGCTGACAGGATGGGCAGGAAGACGGTGAGAGTTGCCGGGTTGGAGGCGAACTCGGTGACCGCTGACACCAACAGGCAGGCCAGCAGGGTGACGGCCCAGGGAGGAAGGCCACTCATGGGCTCCAGCTGTCTGCCGATCCACACCGACAGGCCTGACACCTGCGCACACACACACACACACACACACACACACACACACACACACACATACACACGGATGTGAGCAGCTTCCTCAAAGGGGAAAGATAAGAGCTGAAGCTAGCTGTGGTCACAACTAAACTTTAATTTCTACATTGCTTAATATGTCATCCACAATAACCCCTGTTATAATGATTCACTCTTTTAAAGATGGCTGCGATAGAAAGAGAGCATGACAAACAGAAATTATACACTTTTTACCACTTAAACAATGACTGCGGCCTCTGGTCAACACTTAAACAAATCCATAAATTACATCATCTGGACATACAAAAATCAGATCATCCAAATCTCCGTTCAGAAGCTTCCCTGACTTTTATTAGATAACCTGACGTGAATCTAGAAGATGACGATGGCTCCACCACACCCTTAATTTACCCCTGAATTAAAACCCCTGGTGATGTACTGTGATGAAAAAACACACTTCCACACGTGTATATTACCTTGCACCCTGCAGCCAGTGCATAGCCGCCTCCCACCAGGATGACGATCTCCCACGGCATCAGTCTCTGGAAGTCCTTCCAGGTGATCATGGGAGCCAGCGGGTCATCATCACCTGAAGGTTTATTGACATAGAAAAGAGGTCAATACTCCTGGAGTGCTATCTGTAGCTGTAATCAAAGGAATCTAAGGAAGTTTCTAAAGAACACTAAGTGATTATACTTTAAGGAAATTTGGATTTTGTTGTTGAAAGAGAAGCTTCATTTAAAGCCAAATCAAATTTTTCATACTTGAAATCTTTTTGTCTCTTATTATGCTGAAAAGGATGTTTTTAAATGCTTTTTTCTCAACTGGTTCTCAACTGGTCTAGCCCCAGAAGCCACCACTAACTCCTTCATGAAAAATCGCAACCAAACATTTAGATATTTCTCTACAAATCAGATGAATTTAATTTAAAAATTGTGCAGTTTTGGGACAAAAAAAATGTTCAAAAAGCACTTTATACACTTTTTAACACTTTTTTCCCTTAGGAACACATTTACAACCCACATGGTTGGGACCACTTTTGGGTCCAAACCCACCAGTTGAGAACCACTGCTTTAGACTTTCCAAGTTGAGTGAAATCTGTAACATCAACAATAACCTGTATAAGAACAAAATAATGCTCATCAAATGAATACGTTCCTTTTTCAGATGCAGTTAGTGCTGAAATATTTTTCTCTTAGCTGTTCTGTCTGTTTCTTAAACATCCTGACTTGTGAAGATAAATGGCTTGCAGTTGTTTACATGCTTCAACTACATCTGTGTCTTATAGGTTCTGGTGTTAAAGAGGTTAGTGGACTGACAAAGGTCAACAGTAACACACAATAAATATCAGACTTTTCCAGTCTTTTAAAAACAACAAGGAAAACACCAGTGAACTATTTTTTCTTCACACAGAGGTTTCTCGGACTTGATGAACCTGCAGCATTCAGGCAATAAATCAACCTGTAGAGGCTGTAAAGGCTCCGCCCCCTGCTTTAAGGCCTTTGTTTAAAACGGGTACACTGGAGGAGGCCGTGCATGGTTGTCCAATTTTGCCAGAAATTTGGGGATTTTAAGAATATTAAAAAAAAAGTTTTGGATAAATATAAATATATATTCAAATGTAAAAAAAATGGTTTCAATATGTCTAAGCCTTCCAAGCTTACTCATTCATTTCCATTGTTTATAACTGTTAGCTTCACTCACTTCAGATGAAACAAAAGGCCACAACAACCTTTGTTTGATGTTTGAAATGTGAAAGTTAGATACAGAATGAAATGCACCTCATTGTTGGACATGTTGAACCCCCTCTCCCTGGTGCCCTGAGGTGAAAAGGCTACAAGTATGTGGTTATCACCTGAGTATTTATAGCTGGAAGAGGATGAGAAGGGTCGCCTGGCAGGGATGAGGAAGAGCAGGAAGCCCAGAAGGACTGAGACTGTCGCATCAGTCCTGTAACCTTTCCTGAGAGGGAAAACACACACAGAAGGGAAAACGCTTTAAGAATGGATGTACTCGTCATACTTGGTGACAGTGTGTGTTTATTTAACAGTACTAAACACCATAAGCCACTCACACCTGTCTGATCACTAATTAAGTGAGAATGACACCACCTGCGGTGCTGTGGCTCAACATGACGGCTACTCACTTCTCGAAGAGAGACGTCCAGCCGGGCACAAAACCAGGCTCTCTGGTGAACCACAGCAGAGTCATCAGGATGAAGAAAACACCTGTCACCACCTCTGGGTAACTAGGACACACACACACACACACACACACATACACCACACAGAAATGAAATGAGCATGGTGAGTCACACTTGCACTCGTGATAAGATGATCATGTCAGGGTGTCATGTCTGGGTCTGTAAGTAAGATCCACTCACGTATATTCATGTCTCAGATTGTTTATTCGAACACCAAAGCCTTAAAATTCTTCTCTCACGTTGGAAAAGTGAATCTAATTACAGTGTGATCTTGATCACAATTTTTTAAAACATAATACTTTGTTGCAAGGAGCATTTCTTCCCTGGTGCATTAAAGATCTTCTAGGTTTGATTTCAGCTGCTGGAAAAAATCCAAGTGTTTCAACTTGGAAAGGTGCAGATTTCTTTCTATTGTCGTAGATTATAAACACACTATCAGAAGTTCCTGCACATCTAGTCAGGATAACTAAGATACAGGAAGATGTGACACAATATGATACTAAAACAACACAACAGGATACGACAGGATTCAATATGATACCACACAGTAAGGTGAGATACCGTACAGTGCTGCACAATCCCATGCAGCGTGATGCAATGTGATACTGTACCATACAATATGCTAGGTAGCAGTATGATACTGTACAGCACGGTATTGTACGATTTCATACAATGCAATACGATATGATGAGATGCAATAGGTCACGATACCAGACGATACGGTATGATATGTTACCATGTAATACGATATCATCCGTTTCTATGGGAACGGCACCAAAACAACATATCACAATACAATTCAGAGTGGCACAATGTGATGGATTACAACGCAGTATGATACAGTACAGTATGGTCCAGCAGGGTGCAATGTGATATGATGCATACTAATTAAAAATAATTGATCGTTTACATTGCAAGATGATGCAATATAATTGAACACTACTTGATGTAATACAATGCAATATGATGTGATTAAATGAAATAGATACAATGCATAGCAATACGATGTGATACAAAATGTTATACTTCATGGTCTTGCATGCCACACAGATAAAGCTAACAAAATTAATTTCAAGTTTGTACACAAACCAGTCAATAATTATCCCCATCATCATATGTGGCACACACTGCACATATTCCAAACATTAGACAAAGCAACAACAAAGAGAACACACACACACACGGTAAAGCATAGAGTACACACCTGATGGGTCCTAGTTTCTCGTACTCCTCATGGATCCTCTTCTCTGACATCATCTCCCTCCTGGTCTTGCGTTTCTTGCTCAGCGAGCATGTTTCCCTGAAGCTGAACACAAACAACAACATTTACAACGCTGTGACTCACTGAGAATGTTCAACCTGCAATCAGGACATATAAGGCACGCACTGAGGGATCATCATGACTCTTTGATGACAAGCTGCATTACTCCTACCCTGCAGGTAAGGCATGAACGATACACATGATGGTACAGCGCAGGATGACACAAACACACTCACTTGCAGCCGAGGAAGAGGCAGTGCAGCCACAGCCAGGTGAGGACAAGCATGATGATGGCTATGGGGAAGCTGAAGATGAACCACGTGCCGAAGTTTATCACCTTTGCGTCTGGGTAACGTCTGACGGGACAAAGACAGAACGAACAGAGAGTCACTTCAAGAGCTCTACCCGTGTCCAGGTGCTGGTCGTGGTTTTATCTTATTCAGTAATTACATTAAATGACTCTGCAGCAGGACAAGAGAGCTGATTGGAAATGTAGCTTCATTTTGATGCAGTAGCACTGACATTGCCAAAGAACCAGAAATCACTTTCAACAAGGTTTACCATTTCATCAAAATCATACTGATGTGATATTTTCATCTGTGCTACATTGCTGTATAAACATACAGCGCGTGTACTTGCAAATATAGGACCTCACCAGAGTTCAAAATAATTGTTTCTCTGCCCCATTAACCATCTAACTTGACCCTGCCCTGGCCTCATGTGTTCTGCTGTAACGGACAGCAGCTGTTGTCCCTTCAGCTTATCTGCACAGCTGACTCTCTGTCTGCACTGATAAAAGGTGAGTCTGTTGCAGCATTGAAAGGTGGAACTCCCCACGCTCTTGCATTCATATGTGAGAATCACTGCTGCATGCACAGTGCCAGTAAAACCAGCAGTATGACATCGTTTATTAGACCCAATAGCAGGTAAGCTAAATTCTCTTGTGGAGCCTCTCTGGAGTCGATGATGTCAACCGTAGTTTCAACTATTGTTTTGTTTTAAAAAGAAATCACAATATGAGCTTCAGTGTGACCGTAGTCCTTTGCTTTGCTTTCTGCATTTCTACTGCTGAGTTACAGTGCGGCATGAATTTGTAAAAAAAAAATATCCTAGCTAATGTTTAGGAGCCTCCCGTAGTGATTTCTCTTTTAAACACTTCAGTCCATCACGGATATTCTCCCAAGGGGCTGTTGACATCTGTACTTCTGGAAAACAGCTGCAGAGCATCTGTACAAAACATCACGTGATCAGCTAATGCATTTAAAGTATAATGAATGGAAATGAATTTTTAAAATAGTACGCCTTACTATCAGTTAAAACAGGCAGATGACTCCCTTAGTTTAGTACATGGCTATTAACACCCTGATTTTTGATTTTGAAATACTTTATTAATCCCTGAGGGGAGATTCTGGTTTTACACTTTATTTAGAGACATGCTTCTCACACACCCGGCCCGAATCACACACACACACACACACACACACACACACACACACACACACACACACACACATATACACGAACAGAACCTGTGGACATGCATTAGTGGAGAGATGTCAGAGTGAGGCTGCTACACAGGGAGCGCACCAGGGTGGTCGGAGGTTCAGTGCCTTGCTCAAGAGAACCTCGGCAGTACACAGGAAGTTCCCTGGAACCTCTCCAGCTACCAGAAGAACTTTTGTATTTTGGTCTGCACCGGGACTTGACCTGGCGACCCTACGATGATGCCCCCCTGATACAATATAGCTGGATTTTTTGATTTTGTTGTTGAATGCATTCTGGGTATTTATCCACCGAAAAGAGTGAGCATGCACTCTAGACATTTGTCTCTTAAAAGCTAAAAGAGTGTTTCATTTAGGATGAAAAAATGTGAATCAACCAAGCTTGAATCCATACATTAAACCTTTGGAAAAACATACATACATTAATAAAGGAAGTAAATTAAACTAAACTAAACGTTGGTGATAATCAGCTAAATTAGGGAATGTGGCGTCAGGGCAACTCGGATAGGAGTATAAATAAGTAAAGAAGTCCACAAGGAGGAGGAGCAGGACACCTTTGTTATAAAAAGTTTCAGTTAAAGTGAGCTTATGGAAAAGAGAACATGGTTCAACTTTAACTTCATGCAATGTGGAGCCCAGAGACGATCAGTGTCAAAACAAGAGAATATCCTCATCGTGTGCGAAGGTTTTTTCCATCATGGTTGAACATGCGACTGTGATTGAACGCTACCAGCACCACCTATGGTTTGTTTTAAATCCTGGAAAGCTTCCACAACTTTACAGCAGAGGTCACAAGGGTCGCCGCCGTCTGGACACAAACCCTCAGAGTCAGTGTCAGTGTGAGACGCGGTGTGAAATGTTTGCACAGATGAACATCGTGCGACGCTGTACAAAGGTTCAAGTCGTCCCACATCCTCAGTGCACTTTGAGCTCTAACCGCGCTCTCCTCAGTCTCCCCGCTGTGGTGTCATTCGAAGCTGCGTAGGTGATGAAGTGTGTTTGCTCAGTCGTGCTTCGATGAGCACTGTGCTGTATGGACAGTAATGAGGTTAAAGGTGAGAGAGGATGATCATGTGTGGGTTGAAGGCAAAACGTAGTCCTACCTCTAAAAGTTCTCTGTGATCCATAACTATTACGTTGTTTCAGATAGATGGGGAGAAAGTCAAAGATGAAAAAACAGAAATGTCCCTCTAGATTTAAGAAAAGGGGAAATTAAACTTTGGACTATCAACAAACTTAGTTCAAGCAGGAATACTGGTGACATTTTCATACACATTCATTCAATTCACATTATCCACTCCCTCTCTACCACTTCCACCCTCTCCCTTGCTCTGGTGATCAGCTGATTTTGGGCATTTACTCTCAAAGCAATAATCCAACCACACTCTGCCACAACCTCTCTCAAACAATCTCAGTCATATTTTAAAAATCCGTTCTCTCTCCTCCACAGTCAGTTTGTCATTTCAGTGCGTTCACCTCCATCCCAGCTCAGCAGAGTTCAGATCCAGCCTCAGAAACCCACTCCTCATCACATCCTGCATTCTTCTATCACCACCCCCAGTGACTCCATAGGGCGGTATCCTATCCTGCTGTCGGCCTCATTACCCCTCTGAGTACATCAAGATGGAGTCTAATCGTCAAAGAGTTTTTGCACATTTATCTTTTCCTTAACTGTTAAATAAATTACTTTAGTCTCTCCTGATTGAACTAGTATCATCCACAGAGTGCAAGACCGGAAGCACATCACCAATCATTAACTTTAGACACGTACAATCTTTCAAATCTATAATTCATATTGCAGATTTTACACATTACTCAATAACTACATTATACTAAAAATGTCCTTATAATATTGTACAGGTATGTATAGTGAATATTTTAAACAAAACTCATTCAGGAATCCACTGCTACATACGACTTAAATGCAACCAGAAACAAATAAAATAATAATAATTAAGTTTCACCTAAGTTGCAATGTCCTTGCCTTCTTCTACTAGCATGGACTGACTGACCTGGACACACACACACACACACACACACACACACACACACACACACACACACACACACACACACACACACACACACACACACACACACACACACACACACACACACACACACACCATGTCTCAGACGTTGACCTCAAGCTACATGACAGACATTCAAGATTCAAACTTGAAGGTATAATTTGGGGGATTTTCATAATCACTGCTTGGGACTACAAGACGTACTGTGCACACAAACCCACACAGAATCAACACCTGACCTTTGTACAACCAGCTGCGACATGAAGGAGGCCATTCTGCACGGCTTAGTGCTGCGGCTGGAGGAAATCGGCTCTGTCAGGACTGTAGAGGCTGATTAGTTTGATCTCAGACCCCAGTGCCCCCCAGACACTGAGTTAACATTTCGGTTCGGCTGGACAAGCGCAGCCGCCAAGAAATCAATCAAGCTGTAAATGTGCAAGACGTTGAAATTGTGTCTAAAGGGCGTCCTGAGCTAATGCCCAATCAAAATATGTTTCTAATAATAATTGTTAAAGCTGCATACACATTTACTTTTCATAGTTAATTTTGAAAAAATACACAGAAACGCAGAGCCTGTTTTTCATTTTCATAGGCTTTTTCTCAAAAGATGGAGCGGAAATAAATTACATTATCCTCATAGGAAACTGGCCTTGATTTGCTCTAGTTCCAGTTGATGAAAATTCCTGACAGATGCCCAAATTGATGAATTAGAAGTCAGAAGGGAAAGGAGAAAGTGATGCTTTCAGACTGACAGACTGACAATATATATTTAACGATATCATCTGCAGACAGTGAAATGTGATAATGATATCCAGATCCAGATGTGTAGATGGGAGATATTTGAGGGGGCAGTTTCTGCAAAGAAGATCGTTTTTACGGGTCCCTTAGTAAAAAATAGCATATATAGAGTGCATAGTATGGAATAATAAAAATATCTTCACTTAATATAAACAATATAAAATATTTGTCGTAAAGCCATTTCAGTCAGGTGAAGAACTGAACATTAGCGTTCTTTAAGTCCCACATTTTTCCAAGCATTCAGTTTTTTTATTTTTTCATTTAACCTTTATTTAACCAGGTAATTAACCAATTGAGACCATGATCTCTTTCACCAGGGGTGACCTGGCCGAGAGGGCAGCAGCACACGTCATATTAGAAATAGTTTAAATTGACAACAACTTGATTGGGCATGTGATGAAATGGCATGAGTCGAGGCTTGGTTTTGAAATTGGTAAGAGGTTGGCATTATAGAACCTGCATCCCTGAAGTTGGCCAAAAACCTGTAAAATCAGAGATGAGCCTTGGATATGTCCCAGTTTTCAGGTTTTTTCTTTGCTTGTTTTTTGTCTAAGGAGAGCTTCAGCTTCAGACAGGATACTCAACATGCCTATACTCCTGCCTCTGCCCTGCTCCTTGATATCTTTAAGAGACAGATGTTGTTTTTTTTAATTGAAGCAAAAGTAAGATCCTTACAGACCAACATAAGCTGCCTGAAATGCAATAGTGCGTTGCTAGGACATCCTCTGAGGTAACTGGTATCAGTGAGCTAGCAGCATTACAGGATTACATTTCCGTTATTCCACAACAGACCAGAAACCATCGGAGGGATTTTGGACTCAGGTGAGTGTGTGCATGAGTACTCACGTGTTAAACTGCTCGGCAAAGATGAGGTTGGTTGACGTGCCGGTGATGGTGATGAGGCCACCGATCGTCGCTGCGTAGGTGATGCTGAGCGAGAGGCATTTACAGATCATGTGGTCCCTTTTGGTGGGATACTGGGAGTCCCTCCTGGCCTTCACTCGCTTAACGTTCGGGATTTCGATTGCAATCTGGAGGAGTGAAGGGAATATTAAGGAGAGTTGGATTAGCATGCAGTAATTGAACAAAAAAAATAATAATTTGACATGAGAAAAATTAACTAATTCTCCTCCCAGCATTTCTTGTCTCTCATCGGCTGTCCTATCCAATAGGGGCAAAAATGGCCCAAAAAATATCTTTAAAAAAACATCTAAGCCAATACCAACAGTTCCTCCTTGTACCTTACCTGAGGCAGGTGTCCATTTGTGTGTTTAACGATGTCCTGGTTGGAGTTTGACATTAAACCTAAACCGTTTGCCGCCCCAGTTTGTTCCTGAGAGGGGAAAAAAGCAAAAAGATTTCACTTGCAGTTTGTACATTCTTACTGTGCTGGCTCTAATGTGACTTCTGTCCACTTGGCCAAAAAGCCTCTTTAGCTCTTACCTCACTGAGCATGGAAAGCTCCTGTCTAGTGCAGTCGTTACTGGAGGGAGAAGAAACAAGACAACTTAGAAAATAAATTCACTTTTCATTTAATAGCATTCATTTAATTCATCTATTCTGCAGGATCCTGCTGAATCTGTAGGTAGCATAGAGCTGCTGTATATAGTAGTATTGCAGTAACTTCACTGTAATCCTTACAAAAACTTGTCTTCCCAATTTTTGCAAACTTCAATGATCGAGACGATTTGCAGAATTACTGCTTGATTCAATCCTTTCTGTTTTAATTTCATTTCCAGGTTCTATAAAGCAGAGTGTGCACATCTATGAAGTTCAATGCCATCTCCACTGACACAGATAAATAGATGAGGTTGGAATTAATGATGAAGACTGTAGAAATCAGTGGTCGTTGCAATTAGGAATAAAGAAAAAAAAGGATACGTAGGAAAAGCTTTGAAAGAGCTCAAACAAACACCCATACTTACATGTCATTGCGATAAAGCAGCTCTAACTGATTTTTGTCCAGGTTCCCTTCTTTTTCTGAAAGAGCTGCAGACAACAACAAAATGAGTAAATGGAGAAGAGCTGATGGAAGTTTTCGTCAGTTGAAAAACTAAATTATTCTGGTATAGTAGGAAGCAAAACAAGAAGTGCTTCATTACTTAGTGTTCACTTAACTATCTTTCTATACAGTTTTCAGGGAATGCTTGTGCAAACATTGTTATCAAAAACCTGTCTCATATCATGGTTCTGTTTTCATAGGAGCTCATAAAGTGACAGAACCAACGTACATGCATCATCCTCATGGGCCTCTGCGGTTTCGGAGTCCTCGTGGCTGTCGGCCAGGCCTGTGCAGATCAGCTGCTGCAGGACGGCCTCGGCTATGGGCATCACCATGGCTGTGGTGGACGTGTTGCTGAGCCACATGGACAAAAAGACTGTGCAGCACATGAAGCCCAGCACCAACCTGGACAAGTGAGAGGGACATCAGAGGAGATTTTGGACAGTCCTTACTCTCAGCTTTATCAAAAAGACTCAGAATGTTTTTCATGCTTTTGAACGTGGGTCTTTATATTGCATGTGACAAAATGTCAGTGTGTGTGTATTGCTCACATGCCAGGCTTGGCCCCCGCGATCATCACCATGCGCAGAGCGATGCGTTTATGCAGGTTCCACTTCTCTATGGAGGCGGCCAGGCAGATGACTCCCATCAGCAGCAGGGTGGTGTCTTTACAGTACTCTGCTGCCACCTGAACACACAATCAGCATGTCAAATAGAAATGTCGATCATTCAAAACAATCAGGGAGACGGACAGGAGTGACAAGGTCTTTCCATTTTTCCTCCTTCCACTGCTTCCCTACTCACCCTTGTTTTTGAATAAGAAAACACAGATTGTTCTTTTTAAGCAGCTTTACTTCCAGCACAGAGGGTTCACAGCCACACAGGGTGTCTCCTCACCTCTCACCTAAAACCTGCTCTACTTGCTCTTTTTGAACACTTTTTGAACACACGGCTCCTTCACGCTTTTTATATTCAGTCATGGAAATGTCCTCCTGCCTACACTTTAGAATGAAATGAATTTACTCACGGCTGTTAATTGCTTGATTCTCATTGGCCAATGCCACAGAACTGGTCTGCTATAATATCAAATTGTATCAGACTGTTGTTATGAAGAACAAACCATGACTATAAAGGGATGGATGTTGCTAGGTAATCACATCAATCAGTGGAAAGACAATTACAGTGGAGATGAGAGGTTCAAAAAGACAAAAACTGCAGGCTTTGACAGAGCAATCTAAAAAAACTGAACGTGGTATGGGATACAGAGGTGTTTAACGGCCGGTAAACAGAAAAGACAACGTCGACAGACTTTTGACTGATTCATGCAAACTTTTTCATCAGTGAACATTTTCAGTTTAATATGAGTAATGAAAGCATTGTTGTTGTTGTTCTTTTAGATTTATTTTGTAGATATGACAGTGGATAGAAGCACTAACCACGAGGCTACGGGCTCCCCATTAAAGCTAGTTTAATTCTAAGACTACAGCTTTGGGCCCAGCTTCAACTGTAGATTCCAACATAATATAAGTTGAAGAAGAAGAAAAGGAAAAAAACATGAAACTGTCATGTATGAATCAAGTAATCAGCTGTCTAATAAACGGATGACTGAGGAAATCAAACTAGACCACATTTGGGATGCCAGTGGCGTAGTTGTTAGAGAGCCCGCCCCCCATGTATGAAGGCTGTGGTCCTCTAGGCAGTCGGCCCGGGTTTGGGTTCAACTTGCATGCCATTCCCCACTGCCTCATTCTCTGATTTCCAACTCTGTCCACTCTCCTGTCTCTACAATAAAGGTACAAAAAATTATAATATTAAAAAATAGGCTACATTTGCACTTCTGAATAGCTGGTGCAACCCAGTGCCAGAAACTGCAAAGAGAAATGTGGGAAACTTGAGACTCTTTTGGAAATGCCCATATTTAATCTTAAACCTGATTAATTAAGGGCCAAAATTAGCTCTGAGGCAGCACTGGTGAAGTGAAGGAACACGTGCTGTGATGTAAGGTTACTTTCCTCATTACCAGCATTAAAACAGCCACAAAGACAACAGCTAACCCATTGAAAAGTCATTCTTATCTAGTTAAGGTTACACTTGTTTTTTCACTTCCTCGTGGGTTCTTTGGGAGAGAGGTGTTGTTAGGGGAGACTGGGAGCACCATAATAGACTGAAAATGTTGCATAAAGCTCTGCTGGCATATTTACCACCACAAGAGGCTTACAGCAGTGTTCACAGGCAGCTTTGTCAATGTTTGTCAATGCGATTTAGTCACACGGGGCATAAAGCTCACTTTTTATGTAATGCTGGTAAGAAAGGTGAAGATGGCGGGGTGTGGGATGGGGAGTTGGGGGGTGGTGAAATTAATGGAGCAGAAAATCATGTTACAACTTACAAAACTTACAGAACCAAACAAAGACGGCCGTCATTATCGGTCAAACCAATCGAATCTCCACAGGGCGGAGCGGCTAACCTGATCACCAGCTACGGTGATGAGGGGAGTGTGTGATTGGTTGGGTGTGGGTCAGTCTGAATGCATGTACTTAGAGAGGAAAGAACACAGATGATGGTGATGAGCACCAGCTCAATGGGGTTGCCCACATGACGGCTGATCAAACCTTTATAGTTGAGTGACGACGCCTCTTGTTTACCCTGACACATAAGTAACACCACATCGTAAAACCCTGATGAAATATTAAATGCATCTTAAGAAACCCTCCCACTTGCTTTAATCACACATGAAAGAGCACAGAAAGGCCTTTAACCCATTTCCCCCCTGATCTGGACTTACTGTATATCCGCATATACAGCAATCTGATCAGCTGACGCTACAGTAAGACGCCAAATATCCCCGCATTTACAGTAGTCCCTCTAGTTAAGCTCTACGGCTTTACCTAATTGATCAGGGTTTTTCTCGGTCTTCCCAACCGAGAGTGAGAAAAAGTTTGACACACTGTCAAAGCGCCCTTGTTTCCAATTTACAGACACATTCTTCAGAAACCAAAAATCTAGATTGATTAATACATTTTTAATTCTTGTGACCGATAGTTTGCAGATAATTGGTATCCTCAATTGTCTTTGTACTCTAACATGTGAATAACAGTGGAATAGTGGTTTCCATATTCAAACTATGCCAAGCTATGCTAGTGCTATTTGATGGTTTGAAGCTATTCAAACCATCAAATGAAACTAAAGCAGTTTCACATTATTCACAATGTTTAATTATGTGCACGGAGATTGCACCAATAGAAAGTCGTTTGCGCGCTAGCAGCAGGAAATAAACATCGTCACCAATTAGCTAAAATAGAGTTTGTGAAAGAACATATATATATATATATATATATATAAAAACATATCTTTAAGGAAGATAGACGTTAGCGCTAACAAATTACAGTTAAAACAACAGTCAATGTTTGGCCATTTGTCAGCTCATAGGAAACACAACCTACTGCTAGTGTTGCTAAGTGTGAGCTGAAATGTGTAAATAGTACTGGCACATCAATGAAATGTGTATCAAAAGGATTTAGTAGTTCATTTGTCTATAAAGAATTTAAATATAACTGAACCAAATAGCTGATTTGAACTTGTGGGCACAAAAGAAACTAAGACAAATTATCGCTCATAGCATGCTAACACCTCTAGCATTTACTGTATAGACCAGACCAATGCCATCGTCAAAAGGCCAAAAAATGACAAAGGAATAGACAAAGACTAATTAACTCTTTTCCCAGAAGACTGTGCAAACTTTAGTTAGCAGTAGTGTATTTATTTAAAGCTTCCTGCCCTTAACATCTGTCTGAGATTCATGCAAAAGTCTTCATTAGTGATTCATTAAATCAGCCCTCTGACCTCCTCAACTCAAAGAGAACTGGGCAGCTAATTTCAGCTACTCAGAAGTTTTTGCAAGGCCTAAGAGAGACAGACAGCAAACAACACATAACTCACCTCACTGGACTTGAGTACTCCAAAGAGTGGATAGAGGAAAGCCGGCACCAGAGCAGCAGCACCCAAGGGAACAGCTTCAGACACCCAATAGACTGCCGTCACCATCAGCACGTAAGCGCAGCATGCCTCCTGTAAGCAGGAAACACAATTGTCACCGACCAGATAAGACACAACTTTAAAAACCTGTCTTATAAACAATGGAAAACATGTTTAGGTAGCCTACGTTTTTCAAATCTGAAAACATTGAGAACTAAAATACGAGTCGTTTTTTTTACCGTTATGCTATGGCAGACAATTTGCTAGCTTGATATGTCTGTTTGCAGGTTGTTAAAAGCTCATATGACTGCCAACCATAACTTCTAAAGCTTGCTAATTGGCATTATGTTTAGTGTTTTAGCTTTGGTTTAAACATTGGGCAGTAAACTGGTTTTGTTAACTCTGGTAGCTAATAACAGTTTAAAAAGATACTACGCTACGTTAACTGTCTCCTCGCTAAAGCTGAATGCTATCTGAATACTTTTAGGGCGTTATAAATCTACTCGTCTTACTTATTCAAGATTTTTAAGTGATATCAGGGACATTATAGTCTTGTGTCAGTATTTACACACCTAGATAGCAGATGCACTTCAACATAATCTGGGCCACGTTTTGGACTTGAAGCTCAGAAGACGTACTCGCAGACCTGAATTGGGTTACAGTTTGATTTGTTTGGGCCGGACACGGTCCAAATGTCAAGAACTGGGCCTGGCTTGGATTATGGCCATTGTTGTGGGGGTCAGACTTGGCATGACCGTCAGGATCCAGGCCCAACTTTGATCTTTTCTGAGCCCATGTAAGAACTACAAGTAAAGCACTTTTAGCCGTGTATAAGCCACATGCTAATTCAAGATAGCCTACAATGCTAACCATAACAGCTTCAATTCATTAGTAGATTATCAATCTAAGATTTTTGTCATATTCATGTGTTGCAGGGTGTCGAATGGTGTTATCTTGTCAGAAGGTGGTTTATAATGAGTCTATAAATGGGCTGCACACACATTTTCTACCTTTTTTCTAAACTTTTTGTGGCATTTGAGCAAGTGTACGAGCATATCTTCTTCCTCCTTTATTTCCCACACACACTAAAACACACAACACAAACATTGATGTTGCATTAATCTGGTTATGGTTATATAATATCGACATACCAGCGACTCGCACTGCTCTGTTGCAACCCCAGAAGGCTTAGTGACAACAGGCTCTCCAATCTTAAAAACTAAAGAGGAATCTTGTGACATTTTAAGACCTTATTAAAATTAAGACGTTCATGAACCATAGGCCCATTTTAAACCCCAAATGCATAGATATGTCTTTACAGTTGATGTTCTATTTGCAGAAAACACCATATCCAAGATTACCTACCAAGCCTTTTAGAAATGCTTTCACTCCTAATAATCCTAACCATGTTTAATGTAATATGCAGAAAGTGTTTCTTTAACTAAATAGTTCTACACATACGCAGTTTTCTGCTCCTGCCGCATGCTGTGTGAGCTTGTAGTTCTTTTACATAAGAGGAACATTCAGCGTAACATCTTGCCAGTAACGGGTCAGTTAATCTCAAATTAATAAACCCAGACCGGGAGAATTAGCAGCAGGGCTCCAGGATGAAGCATGTCCAGACCTGTTCAGACGTCACAGACGCTCAAACCATGGAGTTCAGAGAAATATTTTAAATATGATAAATCAGCTGTTTGAACAACTGAATACAAATGGGGCCCTTTTTAAGCTTTCCTCTGTCTACTGTTAAAGCAACATTACACTCTCATGTGAAGTGATGGTGAATGAAGTGGTACATATTATTATACAAATGTTCATTTTAAAGTGACATTTTTATCAGTAAAACCTGGTGACATTTTCATAAAAAAGCATATTTGTCCATAGGAAACAGAAGCCTTGTTCTGAGTGCAACGGCGATGGAATGAGGCTCCACTGTAACTATGTCGTTTTATATTCATATTGACTTTTTAAGGCATAAAATTTCACGTCCAGTCTGTGAAATCACAGTCTGTGCATTTTGGCGTTGTGAAAGCACGACAGGTGGAGAAACAGTGGATGCTCCACATACACACACACAGCGCTGCTCTCCCTCACTGGCTGTAACTATTACCAACTCTGATTGCAGTTTGTTAGCCCCTATTATGCCTCTGTGAAATTCATATTGAAGGAGAGAGGTCACATAGGGGGGTAAATCGCTGTGATGGGGGTTAGTGATGAAGTATATGTAAACTATCGATACAGTTCGTCTGACTGATGATCATCAGATAAAGCAGATCCATTGCTATGCTAACACATCTGTGTAAACGATTACAGCATTGCATTGAGCTTAATGCTTGAATCAGCATTTTAGGAAGTGAAATTTGTAAAGTAAAATAGTCAGAAAAATATAATATTTATAATTCTGAAGTTGGACAATATTATTTTGTGTCAGTCAGCAAGCCATATAACATGTGGTAGCATTAATTACTTGCATGGCAGTCTTCTAGGCTGGGGAAAGGGATAGTTTTAAATGTTGTGTAAAACCATCACTCACCAAAACAACACCATTAGGTTTAAAATAAAGATTAGGTTTGGTTACAAAATGTGACATTACAGAAGCTTTTACAGAAGGAAGTTAAGTGATGTAACATATGTGACAGAAAATGAGTCAGCTGAAGTGATTCCAACTTGGTGTTCTGTTTAAAAAATGTCTTGAACTTCTGGTTACCTTCACACTGTGCAGACCTTTTTCACTGAGCTATCAGAGAGTCCACAAATGTATTTATCATCATCGCCTGGGAGTTATACAGATAGGTTATAGGTTTTTATTTTATTTTATTTAACCAGGAAAAACTTCAGATTAAATATCTCTCTTTTAAAGGTGTCTTGGTCAAGACAGACAGCAGCACAATTAACAGTTGTTGACTCACACAGAGCAGCTATACATATACAAATAAAAACATTGTATGTACTGTATGCTTTCATGTCAGTTCATGATAATGAATTAGACAAGATCTTACCGTCCCTAAAGCATTGCTGCTTGAAAAAAACCTTAATGAATTGCTTACTTTCAAATCTTCTTTGGCTATAGGGCACTGAATAAATGCTTGTCACAACCCTAAGAATTGTCAAAAGAACAAAGCGATATGGTTTTATCCCACACAGGAAAGTCACAGGATTCATGCTAAGTAATGTAGTGCCAGATGCCTCTATGAGTTCCCTGAAAAAACTCTGGAGGTCTTACAGTGGATTTAACTTGGCAGGGAGAAAAGAGGCATTTCTAGGCAGTAGGCACCGTTGTTGGATTAGGCTGAGCTGAACAGAACAAAGTGTTTGGGTCCATAATGAATTAGGCTCTTGCCAAAGAAAATGTTACAACTCTTTAAATCCCTGCAGGACACACACACACACACACACAAACATCAGGAGGGAAAAAACGAAATGTCAACAAAAGACGAGCTCATCAAAGGCACAGTCTTGTCAGGACAAAAGTTGTGTTTTGCACATAAGCACCATTTGATTAGCCATTGTTCTAATCAGTCTGTTGGTTTCAACCATTATACAGGAAACAGGAGGCAATCTTGCATCCTGATAATGAGATTAAGACATTTACTTTTAATCGGTTATTATCAACAAATATCTACAAGCAAAAACAAAGTTTTAATGACATTACATGTTCTGAATTGGATTGGAGGATACTCAGAGTCAGTCCTGAATGTGTTGTTTTCCATTTGAGATGTGCATGTTGTATTCAGGTTTTAAGAGCAGTCTTTGGACATGTTTGTAGCTCATTGGGAACGTGCACCTCAAACTGAGTTTTCACAGCATTTTACCGGTTTGAAGGTAGCTCTCTCTATCACAGTTGCAAGGTAAATGGTGGCCCACCAATCTGGTTAAAAAAAGGAAGTCACTTACATCAAAAAATGGATTTGGATATCTGGATATGCAGTTGGACAAATGATGGAATTCCTTCTAAGGGTGTAGTTATACACCATTGGTTGATTGGGTATTTATTTACAATAGACATAACTTTTGTCCAACCGAAGAGCTGGAGCTGAGGCAGGCCTTTAGCCACCCCCCCCCCCCCCCCCCCCATTATCAATCAAGTCTTAGTTTTAATTTGATCAAAATGGATGAGACATAAAAATAATTCCCTGTGTACCAATAAAGATATGAGCATTTATTTCTGCTGTAAAAAAAATGGGCAAATTGTAACATTGGTGTTAATGGGACCTCTTGGACTTGCAGCCAGCCTCAAGTGGACATTCCAGGAACTGCTGTTCTTTTGCACTTCTGCATTGGCTTCATTTTCCAACATCTGAGGTTTCAGCTTGATTGGAAAGGCCATTAACAAGAGGAAATCAGATGTTGTGTAAAGGAACTGGGAACAGATAGTCCAAATTAAAAGAGACAAACACTGTTGGAAAATAAACAGAGGTGGTCTGATTTAGCAGTTACAGATAATAGATTATCCGTCTCAGTTTATCTGAGAATCGTTGCTGAACAAAGACTCAAGCGTCAATCATTCATCTGTGCACCTTTGTCTTTGTTTTGCAAGTTTAAGTCAAAGTGCCAGGTAAGCAGGAAGTCAACAACCACCAATCAGCTGATGACCAGACTTTAAACTGTGATGTGTCAACGAGAAGAATTCAATACCTGCTCATGTTCCAGTGGAGGAAAAGCACTGTTTGCTTCCAGGCAGCTCTGATCTGAGGGTTTCCATGTCAGATAAAAACAGGTTAACAAGTTGTGTAACCAGTTATGACTCTTTAGGAGCGATCGCCAATCAATTTTAGTGCACTGCATTTCTCAAGAAAGAAAAGGTGAAACTGAAACAGGGGAAAAGTCAAAGTCGTTTTGACTGCACCTGCACAATACCTTCAGATAAAGTGTTTTTCAAAGGGAGTAAGTGGAAGTCAAAGAGTTAACAGTGGCCCCGACAAGCGTGAACATTTCAGGCTTCTTTTTTAAGAAAAAAAAACTAGGCAAAAGTTCACTCGATTTTCTGAGGCAGTAAAAGAATGTGATGCTGGATTGCCCGAGGTGACCTGGACAGTGTTTGTGCAGTGTGACTGTGACCTTCATCATCAACACCACAGAGGTTTAGAGGTTCA